CAAATTAAACCTCTGTTGCCCTCTTAAGGAAAAAGCTGGGTTCGTATGGATCAGCAGCGCTTAGAGATCCTCATGCTCCTTTCCCGAACTCCACGTGCTTTCTCTCTCTCCAACTTGGGCGGAAACTATCCAAGCCTTTTGTACGGCTAGCAAGCCAATAGCTAGCTACCACGTGTGCCTATATTAAGATTGGCCAATAATGTGGCGGAAATCTTAATACAAAGGGCGGGAACTTCCTTGTACTGTGCATCACCGTAATGCAAAAGAAATGCACGATGCAAAGAAGGCTACAAAACTGGCGGGAAAAACTCCTGCATGCGGGTTCTTAATTGCAACAGAACACTCCACCGTGCAAAAGAGCTACAATTTAGCGGGAACACAATTTAGCGATGCCGAAGCACACACAAACAAGAAAATCACAACTTTGGGTTGTGACATCACCTAGCTTGGAGGTCTTCAAGAGGAGGCTAGATAGTCACCTGGCTGGGGTCATTTTACCTTGGTCCTCTTTCCTGCCATGGGGCAGGGGGTTGGACACGATGATCCATTGTGGTCATGTCCAACGCTACAATCTATGAGTTACCTTACTTAACAAGTTATGTTAAGGCTTGGGGGACTTGAGAGTCATGACTGACCACAAGATGAACACGAGCCTTCAATATGATGCTGTGGCTAGTAAAGTGAGCAAACCGCTGGCTTGCATCCATAGATACTTCTCAAGCAAATCCCAGGATGTCATTCTCCCATTGTACTCAGCCTTGGTGAGGCTACAGCTGGAGTACTGTGTCCAGTTTTGGACTCCACAATTCAAAAAGAATGTGGAGAAGCTTGAGAGAGTCCAGAGAAGAGCCACGCGCATGATCGGAGGTCAGGAAAACAGACCTTATGATGACAGGCTGAGAGCTATGGGACTCTTTAGCCTGGAAAAGCACAGGCTCAGGGGTGATCTGGTGGCCACCTATAAGTTTATCAGGGGTGTACACCAAGGTCTGGGGGAATGATTGTTCACCAGAGTACCCCAAGGGTGACAAGATCAAATGGTTATAAACTCCTGCAAGACTGTTTCAGGCCAGACATAAGGAAGAATTTCTTCACTATCCGAGCTCCCAAGGTCTGGAATAGCCTGCCATCAGAGGTGGTTCAAGCACCTGCATTGAACACCTTCAAGAGAAATTTGGATGCTTATCTTGCTGGGATCCTATGACTCCAGCTGACTTCCTGCCCCCGAGGCAGGGCGCTGGACTTGGTGATCTTCCGAGGTCCCTTCCAGCCCTACTGTCTATGAAGGCAATTCTCCTGGTCAAACATTTGTAGTAAAAACCTGTGGCATCCTCAAGCCCTAGCAAAAAGAGCACCCATGTTGCATACTCTTATAGGGGGATTTAGATTTCAGTTACCCATCAATTAGCAGTTTTGTTTTAAGTTTTTATACAGGTTACTGCAATCTCAAGTCCTTGTCCCTCCTGCCTGTCTTTCTCGGGCTTTGCCTGTGCTACAGCTCCAGGAATTTTAGCATTTGAATAGAAATTAGGAAATTTCAATGAATGTATTGTAGTTCTGTGTGTGTTGTGTTAAACCCTTTTTTAGCTTCATCTAGCAGCATCTTAAAAGGATGTTTTCAAGACTCTACAAAAGTTAATGTTTTTGTCACCAGTTTGAATTCAGCCATCCCCTTAAACTGTTTGCAACTCATATATGGTAGCACACCAGCATGTGTAAGCTAAAGAAGCTACTTTACCCGTCAAAGCTGGAATAAAATTACAGAAAGCAAACATTACTGATTAAAACCAGCCCTAGCAATCATATAACATTATTACCATAAGTAAGGAAACCTGTATTTAAAGATAAGAACGCAAACATTTTAATTTCTGTCTACAATGCAGGTAATAAAACAAGCTGAAATTTCTCATGTTTGCAGATGTAAACAATCTGCCTTAGCATCACATTAACACTATTTTTGCAACTAAATACCCTTGCTGCCTTCTACAAAGCTAATGCCAAAGTGTAGGGAGATAGTTAGAGTCTATTAATGACCTATAAATATAAAAGTAATTTAAAGTTTACCAGGAAATTTGCTGCCACTAGTCCAGTTGTGATTTGGGACTAACTTTCTAGCCCTAGTAAAATTAAGTAAACTTAAAACACGGAGGCCTCACTATTGTATTTTCGTCAACTGAATTTAAGTATTCTTATTATCCAATACATGTTGCTTGAGTGCTGATGTACTTACTTTCTCTCCTATCCCTAGTGAAGTACAGCAGAGTAAAGCACTGAAAAAGCCTTTAATTTGTGAGCCTGAAAAAAAACAACAGTATTTTTCTTTATTTATCAGATATATTTCCCTAAGCATAGGAGAGACAGTATTGTCCAATTATTCTAGACTCCATGCGGTGACCTTTGCTTTCTTCTATGCCAGTTGAAGAGGGTCTCTATCGATTTCTGACACAATGATGTTAACTTTATTTTCTAGGTGGGTGTCCAGCATGTCTCGCAGCTCCAACAGGAAGCCTCGCTCGCTGTTACTGTGCTCACACAGAATCACACTTATCCCATTGCCAACAACATCCAGCACTTCATGGTGGGACATCTCTCCTGTCAGCATGAGAAGAGATACACCATACAGTACATAAAACTACAGTATTTGCAGTTCATTACACAGAATAATCTATAACATCAAATAATAATTTAAGTGAACCATGAAGAAGAGTAAAAACTTAAAATTTTTTAATAAAAATTCTTTCACCATTTCTACTGACATTTTTACTTCTTGCATTCTTCCTCTATTTCCAATCCTCACTTTTTAAACTGAGGTTCTAATGGATGCACCTTCTTGTGTTTTTATAAACATCTTGAACATGGAACATTTAAATCTTTGGGAAATGTCTAACTTTGGTTTTCAGAATATTTTGTAATTTATCCTAGATGTATTGAAATGTTGCTAACCAGTTCCTTGTGAACAGTAAGGTGTTTTTTTGTGGGAGGGTTTCAACCAGATGCACAACAATTAAGTCTTTAAAAGGAAGTTGAGCACTTCTCACCCGCAGGATTCTTTGTAGGAAAAAAGGGGAAAAAAAAAAAAAGAAAAGAAAAAAGGCTTTTTATTGTATTTTCTCTCTTCCTGTATGCAGGCCTGAGGGTTTATTTTATTTAATTTTATTTTACACTTTGGAATTAGAAACACTTACCCCATGATTTTGGTAAATGTAGATGTATACACATGTAGACAGGTTAAGTACAGGCATCTATATTATCATGCATAAATTTAATGTTCACAATGAACTGGTCTTGGGAGTCTGGTAAGCTCTCCTGACTGACTACAGAAAAAAAGTCTCTCCTACCCAGCATTTCTATTGTACCTGACAAAATGAACAGTTCAGCAGTAGACCCATCTTACTCCTCAAAGTATTTGTTCTTTTAGTAACTGATTATTCAGCAGCGATACCTGATGCCCTGTCATGGCAGGTTCCTTCAGCAGCCAGTCAGACTACTCTTTGTCTAGTAAATATTTTCATTAAAAAAGGATGCAACAGGAACAAGTCGCATACCAGTGAGATAGAGGTCAGCTTCCACCCCCTGCAGGACACTTCTTCCAGAACCAGCACACACAGCAACTGTCCTTATTTGGGATTCTGCATGAAAATAAATGCCACAATTAAATTCCCTCCCTATCCTTCAGCCTTGATGCCAACACTGACGAGATAATTTGCAGTGCTAACATTTTGTCTTGCTCAGGACCAGTGGAAATTTGTTGGATGCAGAAAAGGGATTTTAAATTTGGAGGTGGATGGGCCAACCACTTCTCCAGGAAGACAGCAAGATGCCTCGAGCGCTAGAAAGTGTTGATGCATGAACTACTCAGCACTCCATTCTGCCTGCTACCAGAAACCTTCTGAATTGGTGCATGGAGAAAGAAAGATGCTTTTACATGGCACTACTGGCCACTATAGTTTGGTAACTACACCTTTCAGACTCTTGTCTGAAGTAGGAGTCACACCCTGAATTAGGTACTTTAAAAACAATGACTACAGTTTCTGAATAACTTGCACAAAATATGCTTTTCAGTTTAAATAATATACTTGCCTATTACAGGTAGGTTATAAAGGAAAGATTATCTAGTCTTACAAGTTACACCTCTTGAGGAATGACAGCATTTCTATAGAGGTTAAGATGGAAAACTGAACAAAGATGACCTGGGCTTTGTTTCCAGGTTTTACTACTGCCTCATGGTTTGACCTTGGACGCATCACTTCCTCTGTTTTTCAGTTTATCTATCGCCCTCTAATCATGGATATTTATACACATTTCCAAGGTGCTAAAATGTGCTTGAAATATTAAGAATTCTAGTTTTTAGATCTCAATTATGTCGATAATTCTAGAATGACTATGTAGCATTTCATGGTAACATTTGTCCCCAGAAATCTTGGGGAAGAAGTTTAAGACAGGAGAAACCATTGTACAAACAATGAAAAAGCTAATCCGTACTCTGCTTGTGTACTTCCTCCTTCACAGGAATGACCAGTGAAATGCAAAACTCACCATTAAAATACAGACTACATTAGGAGCAAGACTTTCAATGATTTGTGTAGCATAGTAATTACTAAATTAGTTAGTTGTTCTTTGAACAACTAGCTACTTCACACAAGGAATCATACCAGTCCTAAAGAGAGGATACAGCAGTCTCTTTCCCATACATGTGCATGCTAATTGTATACGAGGGGCACCAATTATGGTAAAAAGTCATACTTGTAGGTTTACCTAATGTCTTTCCCACACCAAGGGCCAGGCGGACGTAAGACAATTTTAGGTAGTTTTTGATTCGTTCAATTAAGGCTGACAGGGAAGCTGGCTCGCTCAATTTGCATAGACGTCCCATTCCAGTCTGTGGAAGCAGAGGCTGTAAAAAAAACAAACAAACAAAAAAACGTTTAATGACTGTGAGAAAGCTCATACCAGCTAATCAAATACTTTTTACTCTACAGGAACGGACATTTGAGGGGTACATTGGAAATAACTACAAAGAGAAAGAATTTCTATGTACTTTGCAAAAGATCGAAAGGACAAGATAATCCATTGAACCTGTCTGCACTAGATACCACAAATAGATTAAGAGGTAGTACAGGCCACACAATTAGCCCCACTTCTTTTGCAAAGCATAAGTGCTCTCAAGTGCCCCAATGTCAGTGGTAAGGAAACCTGAGAAAAGGCAGCATAAGGAAGCTTACATTGCTGCCAATACTTTTCTTGTTCTGGGGGTAAGCCATTTTACTCTCTAGAGCCATCAACATGCCATCAACAAACATTACAGGCAATTCAGTGAAAGGGGGAACAGCAGTAAAGTTTATTACCTTCTGTAACAACAAGATCTCAGTCTTGCGATAAAGGCCGTTCTGGGATAATAACGCCACTACATCCTGCATTGCCTTTTCAGTACAGTTCAGACTAACTCGTGTCTGGTCCTCACCTTCAGCCCTGCAAAATAACAATAGTTTTATTTTTTTTAAAGAAGAAAACAGAATGTCAGAATCTAATGAACAGAACACAGAGCTCTCCTATTAAGAGTAGAAGGGACAAGGTAACAATGCAAAATAGAAGAAACATAGCTCAAAAAATGTTTTTTTTTTTTGTTTTTTTTTTTTATAGACTCAGCAATGGCAACCCTACTCTCCTCCACACACACACACACACACACAAAAAAGAAAAAAGGATGGCATTTAAATCAACAAAATGACATGCTATAAAGAAATCCTAATATCACTAAACTTTGGTATCACTAAGCAGATCAGGTAAGACCAGCAGGCTGACTAGAAAGAACAAGTGATAACAAGAGAGTGTGACATGTCAATGGTGTTTATTTTTTTCAAAGCAGCAGGAGAAAAACCAGAGTGCCACATGCAGTACCTGGCAGGGAGAGTCACAACAGATGAAACCTCTGGAATTGTCTGCACTTTGGACAGGACAGCCTCCAGCTGCTCAGCCTGGCCCACTATGAACTCCACTCGGTGACTGCCCTCAGTTGGATATGTTAGAGCAGTCGATGGTTGTATTGGGACAGAGGAGGTAGAGGCACCTGAGAGAACATGCAACCCAGCAGTTTATGATACCACAAACACAAAACAACAAAATGGCCCCCAGCGCTGAGGATCTGTCTCGAGAAATCCAGTGCCTGTGATTTATTAGCCAATTTTAGGAGTAAAAAAAAAAAAAAAAAAAAAAAAAAAAAAATCAAGATCTACAAGGAGGTTTTATATAGCTGAAATTCTAGTGTGGAAGGTTGTTACTCTCACAGTATTCAATTCAAAGCAGTTCAGAGCAAAAGAAGTTTCAATTCAGAAAGTTATTTTCCATGGCTAGATGTGCATCTTACAGGGAGATCTCCATGTTAACTCTTAGCCAACATTTTCCTGTTGCTGCTAAATTTACAGCTCTTTCTTAAGTTGAAAGTAAGCATTGCTGGGGAAAATTGTTTTATCAAGTTTTAGTGGAAGTGTCTCTTCCCATGCTTCTCCACCCCAATAATAATACAAATGATTATTATACTAGGAACTGCACTTATTAGTCAGAAGATACCAGAACACATCTTGCAGTCTATGGCTTAAACACTTGTGCCAGAACACTCAAACATGCTGCAGTGCTTCCCATCCTGATGTGGCGAATAACAGAACTGTATCGATTAGAGCCGAAATAAATCCAAGGCTCATCCCTAAAGGAAGGTGCTAGACTATTCATTTTGATTATATCTGTTGGTGCTTTTTTGGGCATAGCATTACACATCAGACAGCTTGCCCACTAGATACTGCCTTAGGTTATATCCCTTGCCTGATTAAATAGCACCTACAATTCATGATCAATCATCAAGGAACGGAATTGGGAGTTGGAAGATCTGTCACTAAACTGGTTGATCTTGGACGTGTCCTTTAAACTTTGGCGTGCTTTTGTCCCATAAAGACTTCCTTCCTGGTGAAGGAGGAAATCCATGACTGAGAAGTGCTCACACCCTATGTAGACCAAGGCCAAGCAAATAACACTGAAAATGCATCAGGGCATTTTCAGCTGACAATAAACATTCTGCCTTTTGTAATGGGGGGGGAAAAAACACATGCCCATCCTGCACCCATCACTTCCCTAAGCCAGAAACCCAGATGAGATCCAGCTCTATGCACTCAGCCAGCGGCCTACATACCAGCTTAGGATGCACAAGACAGCTGGGTCGGAAGGACCTTATGAGGTCACATCTAGCGTGGTCCCCCTCTAACCTGCTCTTAAAAGTTTCCAAGGATGGAGATCCCAAACCTTCTCCAGGCAGCCTGTTCTGGTATCTAATCCCCAGAAAGTTCTCCCTCACCTCCAGGCTGAAATGTCTCGCAGCAATTCTGGCTGAGATTAGGGCCAGGAGGGGCCTCAGTTCACATCTAGCACAGTGGCCAGCGCAAGGCAGGATCATGGGGTGGAGGTGGTGTGTGTGTGTGGGGGGGGGGGGGGGGGTGTGCACTGGTGTGCTTGAACCCACCTTTGATTCCTGCTTCTCCCTCCCAAAGTTTAAAAACCAAGTGCCTGGCAACCATGCCACACACAGCACCTGCAAGCGCCAGTGAGCATAGGTCCCAGACCGGCTGGAG